CTGCAGTTTATTAGCTTTTTCTCTATTTGGCTTTTAATAGGCAACAACCCAACCAACAACTTATTCAAAAGCATATTGAATTAAAAATAACAATTAATTTGCATTTAATTTATCAAAAAATGGCAAAAAAAAATAAAAACAAAATTATAAAAATAATTTAAATATTGACAAAAAAAATTCTCACAAGAAAGCCTTAAACAAAAATACTTACTGATAAACTTAATTATAACTTAAAAAAAATTAAAAAAAGAAGAAAAAAACAAAAAATTAGTGCAATTATTAAAACGAATTGTTTTGAATATAAAAGTAAAAGAAAAATTAATTAAAATAAACAAAACACAAGTTTAGGAATTGTTAATAATTTAGAAGAAAAACACTTAAAAAATTAAAGAAAACTTAATGTAAATAACAAGATAAATAATAATTAATTAATATGAAAAAAAAAAACACGCCTAAAAACTGCTTAAAAAGCTCATAAGTAAAAAAAAAAACAAGAAAATAAAAGTTAACTGTCTTTTAAACATAAAAAAGCTTTTATATGCTATAAACAACAAAAAAACATAAGATAAACTTTTAACTGAACAAAACCAAACAAACAATAATTATACAATTTAAAAGCTTAAAAAAAGCTACCAAGAAGAAAGCAAAAACTCACTAAAACAAAAAAAAAAGAAAAAACCCTCCTTTTCTTAAACATAAAAACAGCAATTGAAACCAAAAGAACCAAAAATTCATTAAAAACAACAACAACAAAAAAACTAAATTTTATTAAATATTTTACAATATCAAAAGCCATCACTATAAAACTTAACAAAAAAAAAGCTTTTTTCCTTTTTGATAAAAAACCCCCAAAAAATAAAAATCAAAATAAATCAAAACCTTTTTATCACTCAAAAATAACACCTATTTTTCATCAAAACACTGTAATTATCACTACTAACCAAAAAACAACAACAACAAATTTGACAAATACTTAACATAATAAAAAAAGCTTTCTAAACTTGACAAGTAAAAGCTCCAACTCTTTACAATTTATATGCATAAAAAACCCTAAAAACAAAAACAAATTCATTAAAATAACTACAAAAAAAACTTATGCTAAAATAGTCAACAAACAACAACAAAAAATATTGTAAATTATTAAAACACTCTATTAAATAATTTATCAAAGAAAAAGAAAATTATTTGAAAGAAAAAAACAACAAAAAAATATATATATGAAAAACTGTTTTCTAAATATCAAAAAAAAAACGATTTTATTATTTGTCAAAGGAACGAAGAAAAATAAAGGTAAAAGTATAATTAGATTTAAAGAAAACACTCAAAGGACACCCTTTTTAAATAATGCTTAACTATAGGCAACAGAACTTGTACCTAACACAAAACCAAGCACTTTAGCTTAGCCTCAAACCAACAAAAACAACTAAAATTGAAACACCTAACAGTAGGCAATAACATTTGTTTGTAAATCACAAAACCAACCAACTTACCAGACTAATAACAAAAACCAGACTATACTGTACTAAATAGACTAAAATAATGGACCTAACTATAATCTAAACTACAAGCTAGAATACAGACTACACTATCATCTAGAATATGGATTGAATATTGGACAAAAGACCAGTCTAGTCTGTAGTGTATTCTATAGTTTAGAATATTGTCTAGTCTAAACTATAAACTATAGGCTAGACTAGACTATAGACTAGACTATAGACTAGACTAGACTATAGACTAGACTATAGACTAGACTATACTAGACTATAGACTAGACTATAGACTAGACTATAGACTAGACTATAGACTAGACTATAGACTAGACTATAGACTAGACTATAGACTAGACTATAGACTAGACTATAGACTAGACTATAGACTAGACTATAGACTAGACTATGGACTAGACTATAGACTAGACTATAGACTAGAATATAGGCTAGACTATAGACTAGACTAGACTATAGTCTAGTCTATAGACTAGACTATAGACTAGAATATGGCTAGACTATAGACTAGACTAGACTATAGGCTAGACTATAGACTAGACTATAGACTAGACTATAGACTAGACTATAGACTAGACTATAGACTAGACTATAGACTAGACTATAGGCTAGACTATAGACTAGACTATAGACTAGACTATAGACTAGACTATAGACTAGACTATAGACTAGACTATAGACTAGACTATAGACTAGACTATAGACTAGACTATAGACTAGACTATAGACTAAACTATAGACTAGACTATAGACTAGACTATAGACTAGACTATAGACTAGACCTATAGACTAGACTATAGACTAGACTATAGACTAGACTATAGACTAGACTATAGACTAGACTATAGACTAGACTATAGACTAGACTATAGACTAGACTATAGACTAGACTATAGACTAGACTATAGACTAGACTATAGACTAGACTATAGACTAGACTATAGACTAGACTATAGACTAGACTATAGACTAGACTATAGACTAGACTATAGACTAGACTATAGACTAGACTATAGACTAGACTATAGACTAGACTATAGACTAGACTATAGACTAGACTATAGACTAGACTAGACTATACTATAGACTAGACTATACTAGACTACTAGACTATAGACTAGACTATAGACTAGACTATAGACTAGACTATAGACTATAGACTAGACTATAGACTAGACTATAGACTAGACTATAGACTAGACTATAGACTAGACTATAGACTAGACTATAGACTAGACTATAGACTAGACTATAGACTAGACTATAGACTAGACTATAGACTAGACTATAGACTAGACTATAGACTAGACTATAGACTAGACTATAGACTAGACTATAGACTAGACTATAGACTAGACTATAGACTAGACTATAGACTAGACTATAGACTAGACTATAGACTAGACTATAGACTAGACTATAGACTAGACTATAGACTAGACTATAGACTAGACTATAGACTAGACTATAGACGACTATAGACTAGACTATAGACTAGACTATAGACTACACTATAGACTAGACTATAGACCATAGACTAGACTATAGACTACTATAGACTATACTAGACTAGACTATAGACTAGACTATAGACTAGACTATAGACTAGACTATAGACTAGACTATAGACTAGACTATAGACTACACTATAGACTAGACTATAGACTAGACTATAGACTAGACTATAGACTAGACTATAGACTAGACTATAGACTAGACTATAGACTAGACTATAGACTAGACTATAGACTAGACTAGACTATAGACTAGACTATAGACTAGACTATAGACTAGACTATAGACTAGACTATAGACTAGACTATAGACTAGACTAGACTATAGACTAGACTAGACTAGACTAGACTATAGACTAGACTATAGACTAGACTATAGACTAGACTATAGACTAGACTATAGACTAGACTATAGACTAGACTATAGACTAGACTATAGACTAGACTATAGACTAGACTATAGACTAGACTATAGACTAGACTATAGACTATACTATAGACTAGACTATAGACTAGACTAACTACTAGACTAGACTATAGACTAGACTATAGACTAGACTATAGACTAGACTATAGACTAGACTATAGACTAGACTATAGACTAGACTATAGACTAGACTATAGACTAGACTATACTATAGACTAGACTATAGACTAGACTATAGACTATACTATAGACTAGACTATACTATAGACTAGACTATACTATAGACTAGACTATACTATAGACTAGACTATAGACTAGACTATAGACTATACTATATAGACTAACTATAGACTAGACTATAGACTAGACTATAGACTAGACTATAGACTAGACTATAGACTAGACTATAGACTAGACTATAGACTAGACTATAGACTAGACTATAGACTAGACTATAGACTAGACTATAGACTAGACTATAGACTAGACTATAGACTAGACTATAGACTAGACTATATACTAGACTATAGACTAGACTATAGACTAGACTATAGACTAGACTATAGACTAGACTATAGACTAGACTATATACTAGACTATAGACTAGACTATAGACTAGACTATATACTAGACTATATACTAGACAATAGACTAGACCATAGACTAGACTATATACTAGACTATAGTCTGGACTATAGACTATACTATATATATACTAGAAATGCTAAAGATTAGGCTAGTCCGTAGAATAGACTACACTATAGACTACACTATAGGTTGTGTACTAGATTATAGACTTGACAGACGAGACTATAACTAGTGTACAGACTAGACTAAAAGACTAAATTAAATACTAAACCAGAGACTTGTCTATAGAATAAACAACATACTGGACTATAGTCTAGGCCAGACTATAGTCTAGGCTGGACTATAAACTAGACTAGATGGTTGACTGTGGACTAGGTTATAGACTATACTATTAAATTAACTATAAATTAGACCATAGAATGAACTATAGACTATATGCTGGACCTAGACTGTAGACTGGGCTAAAGACTATGAACCAGACTATAGATTGGAATAAAGATTATACTACAAAGTAGACTATCGACATCGCTTTAGAAACTATTGAGTAGTCCATAAACTAGTCTATATTCAAGACTAGAATATAAAAAATATATAAACTAGACTATTTTTACAATTATAGAATAGAGCAGGATCAAAAATATAACCCATGCTATATACTATAATGTTTACTAATGTTTTACTACAATGTTTCAAATTTATCTACTTTTGGACAATGACGTTTTTGATTTCACTATAATTGTTTTTAAATTAATATTTGTAAAATCTTAAAACATGTTTATTGCAATTCGTTTTACTATGTTTTGAAAAAAAAAACTTGTTAAAAATTTTTTTAATTAATACTTTTAAGTAATAATTAAATTTTTATCTAGATAAATGTAAATAAAGTTAGCATAAAATTTTAATTTTTTTTTCAAAAATAATTTATATAAAAACTGAAATTTATAAACATTTTTAACTAAAAGTCAATTAAATTTTAAATTGAAATGTGTTACTTTCTTAAGCAATTCATTATATTTAAAATCCTGCTACTAATAATAGGTTCCTGTCGTCAAGCAAAATGTGAGGTATGGTTTTTTTTGAAATAGTAGCTGGATTTCTTAAAATCCTTCTTATTTTGTATACACTTCTTCTATAAAGACCGACTGGACTTATGAGTTACTCTCGCTTAAGCTGGACTCCGAAAACCCCGAGATATTAAATGGTGATTTATATGTTAAACGCGTTTCACGTGGCCTTTTTGCATTCTCAGGCAATTTAAACATATTCGAGGATCTAAATAATGGTACTATAGTATATACCGATGTCTACTATAGTTATACTAGCATGGATTATGTACGTTCTCCTTTTAATGTACCCAAACAACCTTTGCCGCAATTTATAAAGACTCTATACAAGGATATGCTGATGGAAAGTTTATTGCAATGTTCGTCAAATGCCCCCGATCTTGAATTTGATGGTGTCGTAACAAAACGTGTGGTAGAATTCGATGATTGTGTTATATCGAATGAAAATATGCCATCACATATGAAAATTGGATATTATAAGGTTATCTTTACCTTTACCCAACAAATCACGGCGCAATTGGAAATTATTGTCAAGATTGATAAAAAGGATTGAAAAGGATGTTTCAGTTTCTAATATAAAATATTTTTTCTTTAATATATTTAAAAAAAACTATTAAATTAAATCGAAATGATTTAAGCAAAAATAAAACATTTTTTTCACAGGACTAAGCTGATTACTCGACCAAAGCCAAGACAATATAATAGGCTTTAAAATATACTATATAATACGCTAAAGGGAAAATTGTAAAATAGACTAGACTAGAATGGTCCAGGAAACAGACTAGACAGTTTATGATGACAATAAAAAGACTATATAATGGACTATAGAATACTTAGACTATAGACTATAGTCTATAGTCTAGTCTATAGTCTAGTCTATAGTCTAGTCTATATTAGTCTAGTCTATAGTCTAGTCTATAGTCTAGTCTATAGTCTAGTCTATAGTCTAGTCTATAGTCTAGTCTATAGTCTAGTCTATAGTCTAGTCTATAGTCTAGTCTATAGTCTAGTCTATAGTCTAGTCTATAGTCTAGTCTATAGTCTAGTCTATAGTCTAGTCTATAGTCTAGTCTATAGTCTAGTCTATAGTCTAGTCTATAGTCTAGTCTATAGTCTAGTCTATAGTCTAGTCTATAGTCTAGTCTATAGTCTAGTCTATAGTCTAGTCTATAGTCTAGTCTAGTCTAGTCTATAGTCTATAGTCTAGTCTATAGTCTAGTCTATAGTCTAGTCTATAGTCTAGTCTATAGTCTAGTCTATAGTCTAGTCTATAGTCTAGTCTATAGTCTAGTCTATAGTCTAGTCTATAGTCTAGTCTATAGTCTAGTCTATAGTCTAGTCTATAGTCTAGTCTATAGTCTAGTCTATAGTCTAGTCTATAGTCTAGCCTATAGTCTAGTCTATAGTCTAGTCTAGTCTAGTCTATAGTCTAGTCTAGTCTATAGTCTAGTCTATAGTCTAGTCTATAGTCTAGTCTATAGTCTAGTCTATAGTCTAGTCTATAGTCTAGCCTATAGTCTAGTCTAGTCTAGTCTATAGTCTAGTCTATAGTCTAGTCTATAGTCTAGTCTATAGTCTAGTCTATAGTCTAGTCTATAGTCTAGTCTATAGTCTAGTCTATAGTCTAGTCTAGTCTAGTCTATAGTCTAGTCTATAGTCTAGTCTATAGTCTAGTCTATAGTCTAGTCTATAGTCTAGTCTATAGTCTAGTCTATAGTCTAGTCTATAGTCTAGTCTATAGTCTAGTCTATAGTCTAGTCTATAGTCTAGTCTATAGTCTAGTCTATAGTCTAGTCTATAGTCTAGTCTATAGTCTAGTCTATAGTCTAGTCTATAGTCTAGTCTAGTCTATGGTCTAGTCTATAGTCTAGTCTATAGTAGTCTATAGTCTAGTCTATAGTCTAATCTATAGTCTAGTCTATAGTCTAGTCTATAGTCTAGTCTATAGTCTAGTCTATAGTCTAGTCTATAGTCTAGTCTATAGTCTAGTCTATAGTCTAGTCTATAGTCTAGTCTATAGTCTAGTCTATAGTCTAGTCTATAGTCTAGTCTATAGTCTAGTCTATAGTCAGTCTATAGTCTAGTCTATAGTCTAGTCTATAGTCTAGTCTATAGTCTAGTCTATAGTCTAGTCTATAGTCTAGTCTATAGTCTAGTCTATAGTCTAGTCTATAGTCTAGTCTATAGTCTAGTCTATAGTCTAGTCTATAGTCTAGTCTATAGTCTAGTCTATAGTCTAGTCTATAGTCTAGTCTATAGTCTAGTCTATAGTCTAGCCTATAGTCTAGTCTATAGTCTAGTCTAGTCTATAGTCTAGTCTATACTCTAGTCTATACTCTAGTCTATAGTCTAGTCTATAGTCTAGTCTATAGTCTATACTCTAGTCTATACTCTAGTCTATACTCTAGTCTATAGTCTAGTCTATAGTCTAGTCTATAGTCTAGTCTATAGTCTAGTCTAGTCTAGTCTATAGTCTAGTCTATAGTCTAGTCTATAGTCTAGTCTATAGTCTAGTCTATAGTCTAGTCTATAGTCTAGTCTATAGTCTAGTCTATAGTCTAGTCTATAGTCTAGTCTATACTCTAGTCTATACTCTAGTCTATACTCTAGTCTATAGTCTAGTCTATAGTCTAGTCTATAGTCTAGTCATAGTCTAGTCTATAGTCTAGTCTAGTCTATAGTCTAGTCTATGGTCTAGTCTATAGTCTAGTCTATAGTCTAGTCTATAGTCTAGTCTATAGTCTAGTCTATAGTCTAGTCTATAGTCTAGTCTATAGTCTAGTCTATAGTCTAGTCTATAGTCTAGTCTATAGTCTTAGTCTATTAGTCTAGTCAATAGTCTATAGTCTAGTCTATAGTCTAGTCTATAGTCTAGTCTATAGTCTAGTCTATAGTCTAGTCTATAGTCTAGTCTATAGTCTAGTCTATAGTCTAGTCTATAGTCTAGTCTATAGTCTAGTCTATAGTCTAGTCTATAGTCTAGTCTATAGTCTAGGTCTATAGTCTAGTCTATAGTCTAGTCTATAGTCTAGTCTATAGTCTAGTCTATAGTCTAGTCTATAGTCTAGTCTATAGTCTAGTCTATAGTCTAGTCTATAGTCTAGTCTATAGTCTAGTCTATAGTCTAGTCTATAGTCTAGTCTATAGTCCAGTCTATAGTCTAGTCTATAGTCTAGTCTATAGTCTAGTCTATAGTCTAGTCTACAGTATAGTCTACAGTCTAGTCTATAGTCTAGTATATAGTCTAGAGTATAGACTAGACTAAAGACTAAACTATAGACTAGACTATAGACTTCAGGCTAGCTTATGGTCTGAACTATGGTCTAATTTGGGGCCATTAATCATTTCCAACTTGGAACTTCCAAACTACACTTGCTCACTGTTGCCAATTTAGAGGTTTTGTGGTGTATCGTGACGTTTTTCTTCTTGTATAAGTTCTGTAAATTCTGACAAGAACAACTCCTGAAAACACATAGAAACACAACAACAAACTAGGAATAAACAAAAACAAAAGCGTTAGTTAAAGAATAAAAAATGAATAATACAATAACGATTTTTGTTATCATTCCAGAATAAGAGAATAAAGATGTTTAAAAAAGACTTTAGAAATAAGATCAATAACAAAAAGAATGAAAAGAAAAAGACAGCCATAAAACACTACAGAAGAAGATATGTAAGGTAAGTAAAACAAAAACAGAAAGAACACACCTACATACAAACTTCATTACAATGAGACATATTAATGAAAACAACAAATCACAAAAACAATTTTAAGTTGAGTTGAAAGAAAAATAATCTTAAAGAGAGCCAGAATTTGAGTGATTGAGAAAGAATGTGTAAATAAAAAAAAAAAAAAACACTGTAATAAAGTACAGGCTTGGGTAAGTTGTTAAGTTAATTAAGTTGAAAACTAGTTTAAACAATTTTTTTCTAAAAAGAAATTAACTGTAATGATTTTTCGCTTTATTCTCTTAATAACATAAATTCTAAAGTTAACAAAATCTATAGAAAATTTTTTTAAAATAACTAATATATTTGATTTTTACATATAGTAAAGCTTTTACCAGCCCTGTTATTTTACCAGCTACCTCTCTCTCACTCTCTGAAAAGTATTGGTATGAGTGTAAGAGCGTGTTTTAAAAATTTAATCATTAAATTATGAATGAATTTTTTTCATATATAAAAAAAAGATGTTGCAAAACAGAAATGGAAAATTTAAAAATTAAATACATAGTAATATGCTCTAGACTATAGACTAGACTATAGACTAGACTAGAGACTAGACTATAGACTAGACTATAGACTATAGACTATAGACTATAGACTAGACTATAGACTAGACTATAGACTAGACTATAGACTAGACTATAGACTAGACTATAGACTAGACTATAGACTAGACTATAGACTAGACTATAGACTAGACTATAGACTAGACTATAGACTAGACTATATACTAGACTATAGACCAGACTATAAACTAGACTATAGACTAGACTATAGATCAGACTATAGACTAGACTATCGACTAGACTATAGACTAGACTATAGACTAGACTATAGACTAGACTATAGACTAGACTATAGACTAGACTATAGACTAGACTATAGACTAGACTATAGACTAGACTATAGACTAGACTATAGACTAGACTATAGACTAGACTATAGACTAGACTATAGACTAGACTATAGACTAGACTATAGACTAGACTATAGACTAGACTATAGACTAGACTATAGACTAGACTATAGACTAGACTATAGACTAGACTATAGACTAGACTATAGACTAGACTATAGACTAGACTATAGACTAGACTATAGACTAGACTATAGACTAGACTATAGACTAGACTATAGACTAGACTATAGACTAGACTATAGACTAGACTATAGACTAGACTATAGACTAGACTATAGACTAGACTAGACTAGACTATAGACTAGACTATAGACTAGACTATAGACGACTATACTAGACTATAGACTAGACTAGACTAGACTAGACTATAGACTAGACTATAGACTAGACTATAGACTAGACTATAGACTAGACTATAGACTAGACTATAGACTAGACTATAGACTAGACTATAGACTAGACTATAGACTAGACTATAGACTAGACTATAGACTAGACTATAGACTAGACTATAGACCAGACTATAGACTAGACTATAGACTAGACTATAGACTAGACTATAGACTAGACTATAGACTAGACTATAGACTAGACTATAGACTAGACTATGACTGACTATAGACTAGACTATAGACTAGACTATAGACTAGACTATAGACTAGACTATAGACTAGACTATAGACTAGACTATAGACTACTACTATAGACTAGACTATAGACTAGACTATAGACTAGACTATAGACTAGACTATAGACTAGACTATAGACTAGACTATAGACTAGACTATAGACTAGACATATACTAGACTATAGACCAGACTATAAACTTGACTATAGACTAGACTATAGATCAGACTATAAACAAGACTATAGACTAGACTATAGACTAGACTATAGACTAGACTATAGACTACTATAGACTAGACTATAGACTAGACTATAGACTAGACTATAGACTAGACTATAGACTAGACT